ATCCCAGACTTTGCCTTGAAAGCCCTTTGTAAAGCGTTCAAATCGAGAGGAAGCGCAATATTTATTAATTCATACATCTATGCAATGGATCATCATACAGAAAAAAATAAGCTTGTCACTATCACTCAAGCCAAGCCAGCCAGTCGTTATCCGTGTTTCTGAAAAAATGTGCATAAACATTATGAAGAACGGGTTCCAAAAAATGATTTGGCAAATTATGAAGATTTTTGTACAGTCCCAAATACTATTCGTGGTATGAGGAACACGAAGCGAGTAAGAAGACCAAAGCGTGAAAAGAATTCCTTATGATCTTCCAAAAGGTAACGCTCGGGGTGTTTGCTCCCTGAGCGTCGAGTTACAGAAACAGCCAGAATTAGTGATGTGTACCGTACCCTAATTTTTTAAAAGGACAATTTATCAGTATAGGTGAACTGGTTCCACCGTAATCCGTGTTGCACTGGAGCGCGCTGCTGTATAATGGAGCGCACAGTCCAACCGGAACAAAAGTGCAATGTCCTTTATTCCGTAATGAGGTTGATGCACTCCAACACCTATTTCAATGACCACCCCGAGGCAGCTCTACAGGATTTTCGCAGCTTTCACCTCGCCGCTTGCGCCACGAGTCTGCGCTAGGAAGCTTCCCCCACCTGCGCTCTCACTTCACTACGGCTAAATCTTCACATTGCCATTTTCCCATTTTCTTCAGAGCTGGTGTTTCGTACAGTTAAGGCCCAGATTCTCGTCGTGACTCTCGTCGTTGAGAGACAGAGAAAACGACAAGAGGGTACGTCGAAATCAAGTCAATGAAATGTGAAACTGCGCAAGCCACCACGAACTTGGTTACGGTGGAACTAATTCAAGCAAACTGAGAAATCGTTCTGCATTTATTGCACATGCAGTGTTTTGTTTCTTCAAAGCAAAACCTACTTCTCCACGTCTTCACGGGTGATTTCAATTTTTCGCTTGAACAATTCCAAAAACTGTACTGCAGTTGGTACAGGACCGGCACTCGCCACGGCCACAACGACGCCTTGCCTGGAACGGTTTCAAATAGAAGACCATGAAAATCGCTGCTGTCTCTAGCAATCAGTGATTGACCTCAAAAGCCTATGTCTTGGTATAAGGCATGGCACACCACTTACTTCAAATAATACTTAGCGAATTTGAGCTCGGCAAGGCTACCGTGGAGAACCGTATGCTCTGCTCCTTGCGGGCACCCTTAATAAAGTAAAATGTAAAGTAGAACCGAGCAACTTCATAGAAACTTTTCGCCACATTTAAACCACCGTGATGGCTTTACAGAGAATCGCCGAATCGAGGCTATCATAAGAAACAAATGGAACGGGTTTTTTTTTTCCTATTCCGTCCTTGGAAGTTTCCCTATTCCCGCTTTCTTCTCAAAACCCACCTGCAAGCCGCACTCCGAATTCTGTGAAGAATAGTGTCCAGAAATATGGCACTCGATGCGGGAACGCGACGCCACAATTGAGTACCCGAGTCGTTGGCCTGTACTGATGCTTGGAGAGGTTATCAGGCCCGAAACACGATCCATTGAAACTTAGCCTGTGTTGTTGGTCGGTTGGAATGCTGATATTGATTTGATGACTGTCACAAAGGTAATGGGGTGAATATGCATCACCGATTGCGTAGACCCAGTCGACGGAAGTCTGAAATTGTCGAGCATGGTGATTGCAATGATTCATTAGGTGGACTTTATTAGGTCTCACAACCAATAATAAATAGTAATAATATAACATAGTCCTACTAGTTCTAGAGAAATAGTCTACTGTTGTAATGCTTTCCCCACTGTATACAGCGCCAAATCTTCTTGTACTTTTGCGCGTCTGTGTATGAGTCTGCTGCAAAATTCGGGACTACGTGAAGAATCACTTGCAAAAGCCGGGCCATGGTGTGAGAAATAACAGGAGTTAAGTGGAACCGCCTATGATGGGTCGAGCGTGCTCTTGATTGCTGGATCTACTGCAAGGATTATTACTCTAATCCATGATCCTGGAGATTGAGGAAAAAACGATCAGATGCTCTTAATGGAGGAGGGCACCGATGTTCGCGGTAAGCGGGGAATCGTCAAATGGTTGAAGCTAAAATGAAAATTCTCCAACACGGTGAAATTGGCTTTGGGGTAGTTGAGGCGCTCTGGCTAACTTATAGGTAGTTTTAGAAACCACCGCTGATCATCTTAAGTGTACTTTTGATAGGGATTGGTGAAAGTCCTTCCCACTCATCGTGCTCACTCTACCCGATTTTTTGCACCTGTTTATCCATTTTCGAGCACTTCTTCCCTTGGCCCAAGAGTTTCCATTCCTCTGGCTCAGGACTGTTTCCATGGACCACTGGAGGCCAAAATGTGGAAGCACCTCAAGAATGCTTCCAGTCTACACCGATATTATCAAAAATATTTCAAATGAGTCGATTATGTTTCAAGAGCGCCCTTATCCTAATCTTAGGTATTGAAAGCATGATGTACTTCTTCCCCTCCCCCTCCCCCTCCCTTCTTCACATCTGTACCAGTTTTCACCTTGTAACACTATTCCAGAGCGTCCCAGAAGCCGAAAAAGGGAAGAAAACTAGCGGCGGAAGTAACAGGAAACGTAATGATAGGCTGAGGATGCACTGTGATAAGCAGCGCTATCAGAAACTTGTAGTAGCTTGAAATTTGACATTTGATTTCATTGCTAAAGCTTTCAGCCTTCGCGGTCATTGCCGATATCGGCTAACCGGCTCAACACGTTATACGTGTGAGTGCTGACAAGCTATGGTACGTATACCATGAAAAGCTGAGTTGGAATGAAATGGTGCCCGGTAGCGTAACTGGTAGCGCACTTGCCCGGAAAGCGAGAGGTGCGGGTTCGAGTCCCGCCTGGGGCGAAAGTTTTGTTCACAACCCAGCATTCTTGTGAAACTTGTAATAGTGTTCCAAGACAGCCGAGAGCTCCGAGAAAAGTGGATAGAGGCTGAGAAGTAAGCATACTTCAAGGAAAGCAAGTCGTGCATAGCAGGAAACGAAGGTAAATTCAAAAATTTTCAGCTGCTATGATCCATTCTGCTTTAAGGAAAGGCCCAGGAGCAAATTCATGTGCCATTTTCACTCTGATATGAAAGGAGGGATGCCTAGAGGACCGAAATAGGAATCTCTTTCCTCCGAGCTGCGGAGGAATCTAGAAGGCAGACAGCAAGATAAGAGGATGTGAGCTGCGGAAAGGTAAAAGTACTTCAAACCGAGGCAGCCTAGCCGATCAACGCTTAGAGACAGAAGAGATATCGAACGGTGGGTATGCACTGATCCTTCGCGGCAAATTATCCAAGCCATTAACGTCTAGCATCTTACAATTGGTGAAGCGTTTAGAGGCGCGAGAGACGGGCCACTGCAGTTGCAAATCTAGCACCCCTTATTCTAAAATAGGATTGTATTTCATACGGCAGCTGACAATAGTTATATGCAAATCAGTCATACGTACTCTGAAATGACGATCCACTTCTATGAAGCCGGCCTCGTTCAGTTCTATCCTTGTGTTCTTAAGCCAGTCCGTTGGTGGTTGAACTCCTGAAACTCAACGCTTTGTAACGATTGTCTTATGAGTCTGTCTGACAACAGTATGCCCTCGCATCAGTACGTCATACCGAGGTCCAAACAGGATGACATAGTATTGACGTGGGTACAAGGCTAAATCACTTGGAAAAAAATCGTGCACCATGTGGTTGAGAGCGCTCACATAAGAGTGCTCATTGCATGGCCATTACCTTGACTCCACATCAGGGGCTGGACTGCTCTTCTTTTTCCTGGAACTACGGTCAAGAGCAGAACTAGTGCATAGCCGCAACCTTTACGATTTACGGGGAGGGTTGGCCACGCACACCCTTACGATCATCTGGTTAACACCAATAAACCACATTCCTTTCCAGAAACTTGAGGATGTTTTCGCCAACAGTTCTCTCAAATAAAACAGGGTGATCTAACACATTGACGACTCGTAATAACTTCGTATAGCGCGTTCTCATTTTACACCGATTAGGCTAGTTTTTTTTTTATTTGCTTTGCATTTCTTACTACTTCAGCACAGTGAATGAATGCATGTATTTCTAATCCGAAAAAAACTGTGGCCTTAATCACCAGCTGAGTGAAAATTAATTGAAAAAGTGTTGGATGATTAGTGAAAAAAATAACAAAAAGGTGCCAGGTCACGTAATGGACTGTCGTCAATGTTTTAATAAGCAACTGGATCCAACTCCAAGACTTGAGCGAAGCCGTGGGAAATTAGCTGCCGATTGCTTTGCTCAACGCCCTGACGGCAGCACGGTTCAATACCGGATCATTACAAAATTGCTCGCGAAAGGAGCCCTTCACACCGCCCAAAAGGGCAAAGAAACTGATCGCACAACAAGCATAACTTTCACCGACTGGACGCGCGAAATTGAAGGCTCAGAAGTAGGCTATAAAATGCCAAACAGAACACCAGAAGCTCGCAGCGCTTTGAGACGCCAGTATGATCACTGGTTCGCTATACGAAGAAAAAATTGTGCGCTGGGATGACAGGCTGCACATGCTCATATCTAAAGACTTACCGATTCCTGTCACAACCACATCGGCTGGTATTATTTCGCCAGACTTCAAAACAACACCGGTTACTTCGCCTTCTCCTTCGAGTCTTTTCTGCCGTGAAAACCCCGTTTTGGAACCTTAGTAAACACATCAAATATGATTCCCCTGCAGCTTCCGGAAAACGGCTTAAGAATTAATGAAATAAGATCAAAGTGAAGGCCGACGAAACGGAGAGACAGTCAAATGTCAAATTATGTACTAAAAGGGAGGATGTAGCTACGAAGATCCCCCATGCTCATGTGGTGCGGTGGTGAGACGGCTGATTGTCAAATTCGCATTCCAATCTGGAACTTCAACGACTACCTACCGACAAGAGCTAATTGAAGACGTATAGGTGCTCAGCGGTGTGATGGTTCGGGGTGGCAGGTAAAAGCTCGTAAGATCGATCGGTTCCTTTGCAAATTGGTTACTTTGCTTTTGTCTCTAGAAGTGTTGCGGACAAAAGCAAAGCAACAAACTTGCAAAGGAACCGATCCTACGAGCTTTTACCTGCCACCCCGGACCATCACCACTGAGCTATTACGCTTCATAACTCCGTTCGGAGAGCCGTTTAGCAGATTTGGAAGGCAGATTTGGAATCAGCGTCTAGAGACGCATCAGGTGGTATACATCTCATTTTATACGGCCACTTCGACCTACCATCCTTTCCTTGTAAGATGGATCGTTTTGTAGTGCTCACCTCTCTAATAACAGAACCGAGATCCGTTCCTAGCGGCGGTAATGGCTCTTCTGTCATGCACACAACAGTAACTGATGCGGCTGTCGACGACAGAGCAGAAGCGATTTCCATTCCTGTAAAAGAAGTAATGGTTGAACGCTTCCAAAAACCGGTAGAAAAAACCCTTGTCCATCAAATCAGCCATGACGCCGCGCTGTGACTACACGCTTCGAGCCATAGATCAGTCGAGGACATAGTTACCTGTTTGGTATGAATAGTACCTATAAATGATCCTCCGATGCAAACGACGTTTTTACCCGCCGATTGTTCAGCAATGGTATTCGCATCCGATACAACACGAAGGGTGTACACATTCTGAAATCACAAACTTTCTAATTTTGGACTTCTTAATTTTGTCAGAAATAAAATTCGCTTCAGGTAACTGGACTCAATATAAATTCATTCGATGGGCATGCTGTAACAGCGTGGGTAGATTACCACTACATTCCCGGCACATCTCTTCAAATTAAAGGTGACGGATGATTATGTGATAAATTGTTTAACCATATCACGCCAATGGCCGCCTCCATATGGGTCGCCAAGCCAATGCGCTCCTGGACTATGGATCTGTCCACTCCTAGGTGCGCCCGAACGATTATCAGTTGGATAATCGTGCAGCGCTTTAGAGGGGACAGATAGGTGGGCAAACTCGTCCATCGAGTGTGAAATGCTGCTTAGTTAAATCCTTCACGCGAAAAAGCGGAATAAATGCTCTCTTTTCGTAATTACTTATTTTTCAAATATTTTATACGATCGAAAAATCCTCCTTCGCTATTGTTTAGATAATCTTTACGCATTGGACATTGCAGAAATTATTTTGTGACATCCATGTTTTTGTTCATTTACCAAACAAAATCTGCGGTTATGTGGTGAGGCGGCGGCGCCCACAAAATCGCGCCCGTCCATCCCACGCGACCGAAAAGTGGAAAAAGGGGCGTCGTCGTGAATGTGTTATTAATAACGTTTGGTGAACTGACGAAAGAGACGCAAACGTGAACAGAGCGACATTTGCAGTCCACGAATTAACATTAAAACGCGGACGTTTTACGATCAAGGCGCCTTAAAATTGGAGGTAGAGGTGCGCTCGTAGAAGCGGGACTAAGAATTGAAAAAAACGGCCCAGGATCCGATGAACGGGCCCCTTCCTAGCCCGCACTGATGCGACTCCCATCGCTGCTGCCCTCTTCAGCGCTAACGCTCTCATCGCTGCTGCCCTTTCAGCGCTGACGCTCTCTCACTACGGCTACGGCTGGAGACGTAGCCAGTGGTGGGTTATGCGCGCTAAGCGCGCCACGGGAACATGAGTCAACGTAAGCTGATTCGCCGGCAAGAATATTTCGCTTCGCTGAAACTGAGTGGGAAACACCTCAGGGAGGTCGTTGTACTTTTTACCCCTTTAAACAAGTTTCCCTCGACCTTAGACCTTATCGTGGAATCCTCCATTGAAGGCACATTTCACATCACCTCACGGGAAAACCACTATCCTACAAAGGTAAAGTGGTTAGCGGTTGAAACGGCTGTACAAAGTTTGCGTCACGAAACGAATGTAAGGCTTAATGGTTGACCCACCCTCACATATATCTCTCTCCGCCCTCAGTAGACCCTATGCACGGTGCTCACGTCTTTATCGCCTCTGTGCTGCCTTTGCCCCTCGATGCCCTTGGTGCTCTTATACCACTTTATTCCCTTTGTCGTCGCTAGGTAGCCCTTACTCGGTAAAAGTGCAAAAAAAAGACTCTGTTAAAGGCGCAGCCCACGATAAGACGACTGAATACTAGTAGCAGTTTTCTCCATCAATGAGATAACAAGGTCCCTAGCACAGAAGTTGTGATACTGTCGCATTCCGAAGAGAAAATAGGTGCTAAGGATTTGCCTCGAAAGCTGCAACCACCGCCGCTACTCCTTGTTCGCAGCATAGGTGGTCTGTGCGCTCTCGAGCAACGTACTCTCTCAGGTCCTCCCTCTCTTGGTCGCGCTTGGTCTCTACTTTAGACCACCGTCGCCCTCACTAATTCCGTCGAAGAAGTGGGGAAGCAGGAGGCGAAAATCCACGGTATTTATAATAAAAAGGCAAGGGAGCGAGAGCGATCCCGTCCTTAGAGGCACATTCACACTACTTTGATAGAATCCACTTTCTTGAACAGGGTAGTAGGGAATGTATGCACATGAAGTGCCGTCAAGCACGGATGTGCGCAACAACGGCACCACGCCCTCATTCACCTGAGCGCGAGTGGTTGCGACTATGCCCAACCAAACGATGTGAGGTGAAGATGTCTGCGTCCTCTCGCCCGATATGCTCTCTCTCCTACACTCCCTCCTTAGTGCAAAGGATCTCGCTATTTTACCACGTCACGAAGAAGGGGGTAGGGTCCTTAAAGACAAGATTCGGGATAAAATAGGTGTGGAAAAGCGTTCAGTTATGAAGCTATAGGTGGGAGGTGGTCTGTAAAAGAGAAGGAAAGCAAACGAAACCACCGATTACGCCCCGTACAGAGACCTCCCCTATTTCAGCCACATTCCACCTTGGGATAGAGAAGAGGCGAATTGGACGAGTTTCACGAACCTAACTCTACTTGCTCCAGTGCCAATAACATTGGATCGCGATGGGACCGCTGCCTCAAATGCGCCCGCGCTTTTCAAGCAGCGTGGCAACCGACAGCGGAGGGTGGGGCTTGCGGACGAAGGTGTGAGTTGCGGGTCGGACGAGCTCCTTGCGCCTTTGTCGCGCACTTTCAAGCCGCAAAAGGGGCCCGGCATCAAT